TGGAGTCCACAAGGACGTCTTATGGTCTCCTTACAAAATTCTTTGGCTAATGTGGTAAACTCCCATAGTCGCACCATCCCCGAGTTGGTGTATGAAATCGGGTATATCATGCTATACCTGCAATGTGAGGCCCCCGTTTACGATAGCTAAGTTGGTGAACATAACATCAATAACAATAAGGGCTTTATGAAACGCAAATAACTATAATGGGGTTTATAAACCAACTTATACCGATACCGATACCTGTGTTTTGGGGATTTCAAATGACCCCCAGTCATGGTTGGAAAGGGGATGGTGCAGCAACTGCGACTCCCACACTGAACTGGAGCAACAGAAACAGGCTCCACGGCTTGGCACACAACTGCGACAGTGCCGAGACACCCTGGAAGTCATTTGGGGGTTTCCATAAATGGGTATACCCCAAGATAGATGGTTTATAATGGAAAATCCCATTAAAATGGATGATTTAGGGGTATCTCCATTTTAGGAACTACTCATTTGTGACTCATTTTGCCCACCTTGCAGTGATAATCCATGATAATCCACTGCAAAAAGCCAGGTGTAATCTATGGATCCCATGGATTTCAAGGCCAAAAAACACGGGTCATCAAAATGCCATCCTGGATGGTCGGAATGCGATCATCTGTATGGCACATGTTGAGTTTTCCTCACATCAACCTGCTCCAAACGAAATTCAAGTAACCGTGCCTGAAAATGTAGCAAATGAGTTAAGAATGATTAAGCGTTGGATGTAGCAAGTCCAAATGGATTCTCAGTCTCTTTCACCATCCCACCATGTTGTATTCAACAACTCTTGAGGTCTTGAAAAAGCTACGCCAACTCAGAAGTCCTGATCCATCCCTATGGTATGCCTTGCCAGAAACCTAGAGTCGTAAATCCGCAAAATTATTGAAAATATGTGTATGTATATACTGTATATATAGACATATTGGTATAATATATATATATATATTATTCTTCAAACAAGTTGTCTGAAGAAGGGATACCCCATATCATCCACTCAGTAATCATCATTGTTCCCATTCAAATTGCCATGACCGGGAGGAAATTATAATAATTCACTAACCAGAAACAAGGCTATATATATATATATTGGGATAATTCCCCTTACTCACCTTTTCCACTGGTGTGCCACGCTCAGCCAGAATTCATAAAATTCCTCTCGCGCGCGGAGGCGCAGCGTCTTCGGATGGTCCGAAGAGCGAACTTTGCAACGGCGCTTTTCAAGGCGTTGGAACATCAAATGGTCGTCCAATGAATGTTCGAAATAGTTGCACTAGGTTTCAAAGTCCGAAAACAAGCGTGTGTTATGCATATATAGTATGTATATATATATATATATGTATGTATGTATCTATGGGTATGGCAGGTACCCTGGTGAACACCGAAAGAATGGATAAATGGATGTTCAACCCCATTGAGTACAAGTACTAACCCATTCCCAGACATGTCAGCAATGAAGCTGTGAACATGTTGGCAAGATGGGTATCAACATGGGAATCTTAAATCAACAAGTCAACGTTTAAATGATTGGTGGTTGACCTACCCCTCTGATAAATATGACTTCGTCAGTTGGGATCATGACATTCCCAACTGAATGGAAAGTCATAAAAATCATGTTCCAAACCACCAACCAGTTTACATTGGGAGCACATATACTTAGCCAAGTAGCATGATGATGATATGACTATGATATGACTATGTAAACCAACAATTATGAGGACAACCAAATCAATGATCTGGGTATGTCTCGACACTGTCACGACACGCTACGGTACCCTCCGGTCCTTGGATGATACAGTTTACAGTAACGAAACTGTAGAAATATCATGAACAACTATTGGTTTTTGGACATTAAAGAGAAAAGCAAACATAAGATGGTTTGGAAATGTAGACTGCTGTTGGGGATTCCAAATTACTTGTCTTTGGAACTATTTGAGGGCTGACCGTGATTCAGCTCATTTTCGCGCCATGGCAAAGTCGCTATTTTGTGAACAACGTAAGATGGGCCGAGAAATGTCGCGATCGGTGGTCTCGATCGGTGGTCTTGAAGGCTGTTAGGCAACGGAATATACATTATATATATATACATATTATATCATATTATATCCCATATGCTCCATGGTCATTGTTGGGAGTAAATGTTGGCAAATGTACCAGCAGCATGGAGCATTGGGGTTTGTATTTATATGTATTTATCATACGTGGATGCACAAATGTGGTAATTCCGGAAGGTAACTCACATCCGTTGATTACCCTCTGGTAATTTAACATAGCTATTGAAAATGGCCATTTATAGTGGATTTACCCATTAAAAATGGTGATTTTCCATAGCTACGTTAAATTACCAGAGGGTAATGACAGATTTGGTTGTGCGTTTAGCATCAAACACACTTATTTTGTTGCTGGACTTCCCCTTCTCCTGCAGGACTCGGATCCGTGGGTGATAAATCACCCCATAGCTGGACTCCTGGCCCCTGCCCTATTGAATTCACTGGGAAAAAAACATGAGCTACTTACGATTCCTGGCAGCAAGTGCAAATCCGCAGTTTAGGAATGATTCTCTGAAAGAGTTTCCGATGATTGATTCTGGTTGGTGGTTTTAACCATCTTGAAAAATATGAGCCAGTTGGGAAGGATGACATCCCATATATTATGGAAAAATAAAACATTTTTGAAACCACCAAACCAGGTTTCCGGTGATTTTTTTTTTTTTTACGAGGATTTAGTGACGGACTTAGTACCTCGAGGCATCGACCCATCGATGTTCGCATGCACCGTGAGCTTTGGGACTGTTCGTCCCAGCCAAGAGGTCAGACTGGAGTGGTCTGAGGATTCATCCAAATTTTGAAAAGAACCAGCATTTTTTAGGCAAACCAACCCTGGTGATTGGAACATATTGGAACCGAGGATGTTGATACGACTAGACACTCAATGCGTATGATACAGGCCTGGGCCTGTATAAATTGCAGTGTGCAAGCATATGTGTAGCCAAAACAACTGTAGCACAGCTGCAGACGCCCAAATGGGTCACCAAGAAAGGATGAGTTTCCACTTGTCCAGCCGCTCCGAATGCCGGTGGCAGAAGCAACGACTTTGGAGTCCAAAGCCCTTTAAAAAGCCTCTGCAGAATGAGTTCTGCGAACCGCTTGGAAAATAGTGGCTCATTGGGTGTTTGTTGGGAAAGTTGAGACAACAAAGAATGTGTTTCCAACATCTAAATATATGATAATATATGATTGGGTCTTTGTATTTGTTTGTTTTGATTAGTTCAGACAGGACCCGGAATCGGTTTTGAAACTGATACTATATATTTATATAACAAACAATGTAACACAAAATGATAGAGCAAGTTTCATAGTGCGTGGATAGAATTTCGATCTTTCCGAGATGTGAGAAGATGGTTTTCTGCGCCCCAGCTTGGTTCGAATGAGAATAGGACGCAGGCTATCAAGTTGAAGTGATACCGTTTTTGTGATCCGATAATGCATGACGTCCACCCTCAGGTAAACACCAAATCCAGAAAAAATAAATCAGTGATCCAGGGTCATACAATCATAATGTTGGACTATAATCATAGTTATTCATACCCTATGGATCCAAACACTGTCTAAGAAGGTACTTAGCCCCCCAAATCATACCCCAGTCCCACTTCCTAAGAAAATACGGCTGGATCCATAGGGATACTTATTACTTTTACAGTGCAACATTATCCAATGAAAATCCCATCAACAGTTTCCATGTCGTCAACCGTTTGCATTGGAACATGTGTTGTCGGTAAGTTGATCGTGTTTTTTGTGATCCGTTCGATCGGCAAAAATGGGTTGATGTAGAAATGACATCAACAGGATACCCTCTGGTAAACTAACATAGCTATGGAAAATCACCATTTGGAATAGGTAAATCAACTGTTATTGAGCCATTTTCAATAGCTATGTTCAATTAGCAGAGGGTAGTAGGTCTGAAACGCTTGCACCCAAGATCAAACCAGTGAAAGTTGACCATAGAAACACAAACAACATGGTCAAAACAAACAAGCAAACAAACAAAGAACAAAGAAGGCGATATGTACACAACAGTAGACTGTAAATAAAACTAGCCACGCAATATCATGCAATGATACAGAATTATCAACCCCACCAAAACAAACGCAGCTCAAAGACCTCCATGAGTCCACCATCCAAGTTGAGTCAGAGTTCCCATCCACCGAATCTCACAGCGCTTCATTGGGACAGCAGCGAAGTCTTGTCTTGCTGCAGTTAACTTACAACCACGTACATGGGCTGTGCAAGCGATCCCGCCAAAGTTTGAGAGCTTCATCAGAGTTTGGATTTGTTCATCCATTTAAGTCCAGGCATCACATAGATTTGTCTGCAGTTGTGGTATACCTCTCAAACTCATACGGTGGTCTAGAATAGAATTCCATGATTTGGCATCAGTGCAGTGATTCTCAATTTTCGCAGTGTTTTGGACAAGTTGCAGCCTGTGTTTCCGTCGCAAAGCGCAAACTCAATCTGAAAATCGAAGAAACATGGCAGATTGGCTGTCAAGCCATCTCAAACCTACCATGGAATCCAATAAGGGGAAATTAGGGGAATATCCCATGAAAAGATTCACCTCAAACAATTTCTGGGGCAAGGTTCCCTCCTGCCCGGCGAATCGGAATAAGTGGTGCCCCCTTAGATATCTCCAAATTATCAATCTGAAACACTTGTCATTCAGCAAGAATCTGGACTTCTAGATCCGAGTATTTGGCAATTTACCATGTTTTTTTATTCCGGCATATACTTGGAGGATCTGGCTCTGGAAAAAATCTAACATTCCGGCTCATGAATTGTGGTACGGGTCGAAAAGGGTTTCGTGGCACAAGGGCAAATCAAACTCCGGCATATTGCTCATACCATCTGATACCTTGAAGTTCATCACTCAGTGAACCGAAGATGATGGTTCATGATGGTGTTGCATGTTCAATGGCTTTTGGGCTGCCAGCAACGGAATCTGAACCAGTCTGCACTGAGATAGCTCTGCAATTAAAATGTAGGAAGCAGCTGAAAGCTTTGGTACTGCAGGCTTTCGCTGTCTTACCAATGCTTTGGACCATACATCCAGTAGTGTTGCCTTGGCATCGAAGTGGGGGGAACATCCCAGATGGGAGACGTGTTCTACGAAACAAGAATGAGCCAATGTTGGAGACCCTGCTAGTTTTGAAAGCTGGCAAGTAACTTAACCATGTCCGAGACATGCAACTGTATATACAACACGTACAAATACACATGTATAATATATATATATTATTATATATTAATTCTATATAATTGTTGTATGTGTGTGTGTAGCTGAGAATGGGGTATACCAAATAAAAGTCCCCTTAACATAAAAAAATGGAAAACAAGAGGATGTTGAGGTACAGTACCTTAATTTCAGACAAAGCCATGTTGATTTTTAGCATTGATACCTTAGATTTATAAATGGAACCATGAACCATGGCTGAAAATACATGATCCCCAACAAAAGATCCCACAATAAAAGGTCATTATAGTTATTTTGTTGGTTGGATTCGATTTTATCCCATCAAATATCCCGATTATATCCCTGGTTTATTCTTGATTGAACACCAAAAACAATACCGTGATACTATTAAACCACCATTAAAATCATTAAACATAACAAAAACCCATGATATCCCAATGAATCTTCCATTCATATCCCATTCATATACCTACAGTGGTAAAATCAAAGATGTTGGCATTGAATCCCATGAAATCAGATGTTTTTCATGGCTTCCTTCACCATGTTTCACCATGAAACCGGGCATCGCCAAGGCGTCAAGGCACCAGGCAACAGCACGGATCTGCACGGTCTCCCAAAAGAGTGCGGCCGTTGGCACCTCCATGCAATGGGAGATCTCCAGGATCCGAAAATGGGAGCTACGTTAGTAGCATTTTTTAGGATTTTAGGGCTTCTTCTGGGATATTCCCTGAAATTTAGCCCGAAGAAATAGGCCTTATATATGGTAGTAGTACCTCCAATCAATCGGTGCCTGAAATGGCCAATGAGTTATAAATGGGTTTTTATATATAATGATATATAACCTTAGTTATAGGAGTGATAATTGCATTTACAACTTATAAAATCACTGGACTAAGTGGGATAAGTTATACATCAAATTCCTATGGCTTTATATGCTACTTGGTGGCTCATCCCACGAATCCTAAGTAGGTTATATCATCTTATATCTCTGGTTCATCCAGTGGGATAAGTAGGATTCAGCCGCTTGCAACTGGGGTGAACTAACATGTTATAACCTACTTACGATTCGTGGGATGAACCACCAAGTACACCAACGAATTATACGTTCACCATTTCTTCCGCTTCATCCCAATCGCAAGTGGGTTAGAACCGCAGTTCGCGATGAATCTGGAATGAAGCACCAAGTATAGGTCGTGGCGCCCTCATTTCAGTTATTACATGATGGTTGATAATCGCCATGAACTAGCTCGATATAACCCCGATAAACCCTAGTGAAATTGGAGTTAGATTTCCAACTTATCAAGTATGACCCATCAAGATTGGGGCATTTTTTCACCTACTTCCCACTTGGAATATATAAATGTTCTTGAATCGCTCATGTGGATTAACCCACTTTCTGGGTTACCGATATAACTTCACAAAGTGCCACTCACCAGTGCTGGAGCTCGATGATTCTCCACTGGTATTATCCCTCTCACATATTGGATGATTTTCTTTGGGGGGTTGGACCCCTCTTTGAGGGGCACACAACACATTTTTATTTATGGAAAAGTTCTGGGGAATACTGGGGATATAATTTCATGATATCATAGGATTTTTTGTGGTGTTTTTGATGTTGGTTGTTTTTCAGCTAGCCCAGTATTGTTCTTTGTGTTTGATCAACAATCAACTAGAGACTGGTTGGTGGTATACCTACCCCTTTTTTTCCTTTCCTGCTGCTGTGCCGTGTTGGCACTTGGTCTGCGTGCACTGCGAAACGAGTGTTCACCTGGCAGTTCAGCTCTAAATCCCGTGGTAATCGGGTTGGACTACTGTACGGTCCATGAACTGCTGCACTGTGTATACTTCGAATTCCTGGGGAAGGTCCCTGTCAAGTCCCGGATGCTTCATCCCCAGGGCAAAATCGTGCATTGCCTTGCCAATGATCTCGTTCATGAGGGCAGGGTAAATTTTGGCTTTGGCCGTTTGGAAGGACCCGTCCTGCTGCTTCCCAATCAGCGCTTGATGTGTTCCCGCAGAGTGGTGACATCTGCCAGAGTTACCCATCTGAAGAAGGCGTTTTCGGATGGCCGGCAGGCGCACCAGGAGGAGCGTGGTCGGTTTGCGACCTGCTGCGCCACAGACGCACTGATCAAACGAAACTAGGCTAACACACATGAGCCTTTTCATCAATCGGATCGCCTTCAGGCACCAAATGCTGATGAGGCTGCGATTAGTTTCCCAGGTCGGGAACTGGGGATGTTCGATAAATCCGCTGTAGCCTAGGACTGACATCAGGAGGAGCATCTCGAGGATAAAGCGCAAAAGCCTGTCTCCAATGTGGATCTGTTTCCATTCCTTCCATGTCAACCCCGGCAGGCCTTGGGGTTCTGTGGCCGATCTGACTGGCCTGGGGCCCAGCCCGTCATTCTGCCTTGCTGCCGTGTACGTCTCGCAAGGTGGGCCGCCCCCAATGGAGACGAGCTGTCCAGATTTCGCTCTTTGCTTCCACCACTGCAGCGATTTGTGGGTGGCGAGGTCTGCGTGCTGCCTTTGCATGCATAAATCGACCGACAGCACAAAGAGCTGTGTGGCGTGTTCCAGGTTGTGCTGTTCGACAATCTGATGAATGTCGTGGTCACGACGGAAACCTGAAAAGAAATGCACGACCACAAGCGCACGGATGTGCAGCATTGCCGCCTCTTTGGCTAAGCCTCCCATCATGAATGCCCCGCCCCCTACATCGATCCCTTGAGGGGAATGCATCACAAATGCGGGAAGGTCCGAGTTTTGCCACCACAGACTAGGGGCATTTGCTGGTGCGGCAGAGACCCTGCGCCCTTGCAACTGATGGTAGGCCGCTGCATCAGTTGGTCTGCGGGCTAACATGTTCTGAAACATCCGTGCACTGGCCGGATCACTTCCTGGAGGGAGCGATGGGCCGCAGGTTTTGACTGCCGGCAAGAATGCTTTTGTTGCCCACCAACCTTGCTTTCTGAGGGCGGCTTCGGTTAGCCTGTCTTCCTGGTCTAGTTGGGTGACCTCTGTTTCTGGCATGGGTGGCCAGCAGGCCTGGACAACCTCGTAGCATCGGGTGTTGTGCTCAAAGTGCACGGCAAGACGACTGCGCGTGTGAGACAGGGTATTGCAAACATGGCAGGTGGCTCCAGCTGCAAAGTACCGTACCTTTTTGCGATATCCATGGTCTCTGCTGGCATGCATGGCTAAGGCACGGGTACTTGTAAAGACCTTTGAGCACAGATCACATTGCCATCGGTCAGGGGTGGCAAGCGGCACTGGGTCTTCCGGCAGAGTGGCACCTGCCTGCTGCATTGTGGCCTCAAAATTGTGCTGCCAAATCGCATGTTCTGCTTGGGCTGTGTTGTAGTGTAGTGCCAGTCTTCCGGTTTTGCGAACCCTTCCCTTCCAGTGATCGTCAAGGCAAATGTGCTGGATCCAGGACTGGAGGCATTGGTTTTGAGGGAGCAAATGCGGCTTGTCATAGTGCCGTTGCATCCAACTACATGAGTCCTTGAAGGCAGCGAGCCAGGAGGTGGGCCCTTGGTGGGCATTCAGCAACTTCCATGTGATGGCTGGGCACCGTTGGAACAAGCGTTTGGCAAATCTAAGCCGGTTGAGGTGCACCTGCTGTGGTAAGGGCAGTATGCCGCACCATGCACTCAACGTGTCAGTGGGGTGCCTAAATTTGCGCTGTGGAGCTAGGACCCCTTTCATCAATAATGCGATGGGTCCTCGGAGGTGATTGTTCCAATGTGCAAGCTCATCTGGCTTGATGCCTGCCCATGTGTGGACATTGTAAAGCATCTTAGAGACGACAATGGCTTGGAAGACTCTAACCCTAGTGACAAGGGACAGTGATCTTCGGAAAAAGGGGCGTGCCAATTGGTGGCTCGTGCCAAGATTTCTCTGGCATGTCTGTGCTTGGTCTGGGTCCAGGTACCCAGATGCTTGTATGCGTGGCAAACGTGCAGCCGGTACGTGTGACCCTGTTGTTCCCACGTGAGGGTGTTGCCTTGGGAGTACAGCGCATGCTTGGTGGCTTTTGCTCCTTCGCCCAGAATATTCCAAAGGAGTTCGGTTTTGCCTCTGTCGAAATTGACCTGCAACCCTCTGGACTGGGCCGCTTGGTCAAAACAGGTGACCAGGGCTTTAATGACCTCCTCAATGCGTTGGTTGGTGGGAGCATGGACAAGCATGGCACAGTCGTCCACGAAGGTTACATCGATAAAACCTTCAGCTGGCATGGGGCCAGCTACAGTGTAATTCTGGACCGGGGCCTCACCACCTAACCATGGGATGGAACACCGAAGTGCGAGGCAACTGCGAAAGCTCTTCAACAAGCTGGTCATGCAAAGATTGAACAGTATGTCCGCCACTGGGTCTCCTGGGCGCGTGCCTCTTGTGGTGTGGCACGGATCTTGGAGGCCAGGGATGGTAAAAAATGTGTTTGTCATCATGTCATGGAGGACTTTTTGGAGGTGTGCCGAGAGGCCCTCGGTCACACATTCTTTTTCAGCCGCTGCAAGAAGCGTTGCAATGTCCTGCAATGGAACGCCAAGGGTGGCCATCGCCTGCATGAATGCTTGGTTTTTGCAGGGCAGATCGGTGAAAGTTTGCCGAATCACCGTGTAAAAGGCTGCCCTGAGGTCGATGTAGAGGATGGCCGACGGTATTGCGTTGGCTGTGACCCATGCTTGCTGGCATTTTATCACGTGGTGCGCAATATCGACCCCTACTCCCTTCCTGCCACCGCATTGGAGATGGTCAGCCTTCGGCTCCCAAACTGCTACCAAATGTTGCCTGACAAACTGGTGATAAAGTTTGGTCGAATAGTTGGACACGAAGATGCTTCGATATGCGGTTGGTAAATCCGGTGCTTCTTTGCCTTTCCACAGTGGGATCAGTGTGCCACCCTTCCATAGCAGGGGTTCACGAGCAGCAGCAGCTGCTTTGGTGAAGAGGATAGTGAGATGTCGTGCCATGACCTCTCCTCCTGCTTTGAGGAGTGCCGGGGGCAAGTGGTTGGGCCCTGGCACTTTGTCTCGCTTCAATCTGGATAGGAGGCCTTGTATTTGCCAGACCGTTGGGAAGGCCGTTGGATCAATGTCTGGGAGAGTCACTCTGAGATCCTCAGCTTCAGCTCGGTGCTTCTGTTGCAGCTGGGCCCAGCTACACGGGACACCGGCTTCAACGGCCGCAAATTGCGTCATCCACATACGCTGCTGTTCATCATATGTGGCTGCAAATGTGCCATCTTCCTTCTTCAACATGGGAAGGGGCCTTGGCCCGGGTGCCTTGCCTCCCTTTTTCCTGCCGAGCCTTGTCAACAGCTGGTACACAAGGCGATGATTGTGGAGCTCACCTGCATGATCCAGCCGGTCTAAGAGGGCATCATAGAAGGCTTGCGTGTCTCTACGGACTTTGCAGTGGACCAGTTTCTCCAACTGCCGGAGCTCTTCTTTAAAGGGTGGATGGTTCAGCTCCTGTTGGGCCCTGCCATAGTCCAATGCTTGTCGCTTGAGGGCAATGATCGCAAGGGTGTCGGGCTGCAGCCTGATTTTGTGCGTCTGTCGTGGGGGTTTGGCAAAAAACTGTTGGCCGAGGTGCAAAATTTGCTTTTCCTGGATGGCTGCATGG